GGCTCTGGGTACTGCTGTAGCCTAAATAAAAATAGATCAGATTGTTGGATTTGCTTTCTCTTCCTTTTCAGTGCATACTGGCTTGATTAGGGACAGTGGGTGCACCACTCCACTTTTACCCCAAAGCCATTTAACTCTGGAGTAGAAGTGAATGGATGCACAGTTCACAGTCTTACAGTAAATCACTACGCCCTAGGGTAAAGTTATCCTAAGTTACATCAATGTGCCAGTCTTGTGTGTACTTCCTGTAGTCGATGGACCCCTGGGGATTCACAGACTGTTTAAGGTGTCTGCAAAAGGTGATTGTGAACAAATTATATGAATACCCACACCTACAATTTAAAGGGGTCCACACCTCCATGCAAAATTTTTTAGGGGATCTGCAAATGAAAAAAGGTTGAAAACCATTGCCTTAGTCAATGTTATCCTGTGGTAGGAATGCACACTGGCTCCCTGCCACCTACTGGCCAGGCACTGTAATAGTGTCTATTGAAGGCAGCCTGTTTGGAAGAGTTTGTATATCTTACTATGGTATAAATCAGGGGTGAGCAAAATACAGCCCATGGGCTGTATACAGTCTGCCAATTGATCTTATCCAGCCCACTGGGAGCCTGAGGAGGGAGGACTGCACCCCGTGCTACTCCACTCTTCAACAGCCAGGACCAGGCCGGGCTGTGAGCATGCAGACTCCTGTGCTCCCCCTGCCCAGCTTCCTGTTGGTGCTTTGGCTACACAGTTGTGGCACTGTGGCCACCTGCAGCCAGGCCCACATGCTACAGGATGCAGTGCAGTGCACTGAGTAGTCATCCTGCCCACCATGATAAGCCGCTGCTGCCGGTGCTGCTAGGAGGCCTGGGGCAACCGCCCTGACTTTCCTGGTTCAGCATGGCAGCAGAGGCTTATCACGGTGAGCGAGTGGGTGGGACAATACTCGGTGCACTGGATTGCACCCTGTCCCATGTGGGCCTGTCTGCCAGTGGTCACAGTGCCAGGACCACACAGTGCTAACAGGAAGGTGAGCAGAGGGGAGGGATGCCGGGGGGGGAGGGCAGGCAGAGGAGTCTGTGTGCTGAGTGTCCCGGGCCCAGCCCTAGCTGCGGAAGAGTGGAGCAGTGTAGAGTGCAGTCCTCCCTCCTCAGGCTCCTGGCAGTGGCTAGCAGGACGGACAGGATCAATTGGCATCTCCCCAGCCCTCAACAGCTCACAAAACTCATTAAGTGGCCCTCCAGCCCACATAATTGCCCACCTCTGATGTAAATGCACTATGGAGTGAAATCTGAGGTGAATTAGTAGTAGTAATGTTTATGTTCATGTCTGTTGTTCCAGCTACAGCACAACCACAGATTGTTACGAATTTAGTAAGACCGATTCTGTGCACCCCTGGACTAAAGCTAGATTGTCCAGTCCCCTTCTCCCCCCATGGGCTGCCCCTGCACAGTGAGTTAAAACAACAGGCCATCACAAATGCTCCAAGAGTACCTGTTCCCTGGCTCCACCCCCAATGAGTGGGATCTCTACCAGAAGGTGCGTGCTGTTGCTGCTGACCAGGCACTCGGGGTTACCCCTCTGCAGATCGCTTTCTTGCACATCTCCTAAACTAGATCGGGGAACAGAGAGCTGCATTCGATCCTCGAGACACAGCAGAACTATGAAAAGGAGGTGCCAGACAAGGAGAGAAATAGCTTTCAAAAGGAAGAAGGTCCACTGTTGAAAAAGGAAAGCAGGCAGAGCCATTCCCAGGTATGTCCTTCTGCTGTCAGTACACATTCACAATCAAAAAGCTCCAATGAACATGCCACACGCTGTTGAGAATCCTGGGTGACACTGAATTTTCTCTCTCTCTTTCTCAACTGTTCTGAAGAAGATGCCGTCAGCCACATTTTCAGCTGCCACTAACTAGTATAGCTGTACTGCAGCTGATGGAACCAGATTTGTTTCCACCAGCCCAGAATATGGCCAACTGTATCTCTAGGCCCTACATGGATTGCAGCAGCCCCAGCTTGGCAGGGTCAGCTACCAACATCATTGCTCCTACACTATGAGGGCTGAACCTAGAACAGGGGGAAGGGCCAGGAAGCTAAGTGGGCACACTGCATGGCCAGCTGCGCTGGAAAGGAAAAGGCTCTACCCAGCCTGTGGGCTTTAAAAGGGACTAGGCCATGTATGGGGGGAGTGATGCTGAAGGGCACCACTCAAGGGATCCATTGGCATTGCTGTTTGTCCAGGACAGAGGTGGGGAAAGCGTTTTGCTTTTTTTTCTAAATAATGTATTTCCTTGTGGGGAATGAGATAACAGGTGGGTTTTAGGGATGATCACAGCCTCCCTTTGTGGGGGCCTGGTTTTGGAGGGACAATAATGGGTAGGGGCATTCCCTTGTGTGTGGGGCAGGAGAGTTGGAATAGGTAGGGATGGGAGGGAAGATGTAGAAGGGGAAATTGCTGTTTTCCTTACAGAGGTATTGAATGTGGGTTGGGAAGCGCTGTTGAGATGGGCAGGGGAGGATGCTTTCCTCACTCAGGGGAGCGGGAGGAGATGGGGTGTATTGCTTTTGAATTTTAAGGGTTCGGGGCTTGTTTTGTTGTACTTATTTTAGTACTTTATTCTGTTTCCATTTCTTTGTTTTTTATTGTAAGCTGCCCTGAGCTTTTTTGAGAAAAGCAGCATAATAATAACTTCAGAACAAATAGAGAGAGAAACATACTTCAGAACAAATAGAGAGAAACATTGGTGAAATATAAGATCCAGTTCCTTCCCCTGTACTCTAAGCTGGTGTCCCTCTTTCTTTGCTCACCACTGGCTTTGCTGAACCTTGAGCCAACCCACATTGGCAGGAAAGAAGAAAATATCTCCTTACCTATTTTTATTTTTTTTAAACAGCTGCTGTATGAACGTGTTCAGAAGTTTGGGATGTCCTATTTAGTAGGTAGGTAGGTAGATGAGCTAGTTACGCATCTAAACACAAAATATTGGATTTTTTTCACATTCAACACGCACCTTTTATCAGCTGCTGGGAATTGAGGTACACGTTATAAGTGAGAGAGAACAGTAACCTATAACCTGGATACCAGAATACGGTAACGGCAGTTTCTGCAAGACAAGCCTCTGCTGGGAGAAAGCAGAAGTAACACTACACCTGCTCCACAGGGAGCAGCACAAAGCATGCTGAGCTCTGTAGCTGCTAATACTACTTAGCAGTATTTTCAATGAAAGACCTTTTTCTTTATTCATTCTGTCAAAAACAAGATGTGTATCTTATTCAGGGGTGTGTTGTATGCAAGAAAACCAATGCCCCAGAAGATATGGTAGATATTACCAAGCTGGGCCAGTGGCCCTTCTAACCTAGTACCATTTGCCATATCACCCTTCACTTCTTTGAGCGGCAGGTGGCCTGTGGAGAGGAAGCCTAGTGATGCTGACAACACCAACCTGTAGGGGCCACTCTGCTCCTTCACTGATAATGCCCAGGGCTGCAAGAGGATGGGGAAGTTTCTTGCAACTTCGCTCATTAGCTCAGGTGGGAGTGGAATCTGAGATATTCTGCAAACAGGAGAGACTGCTGAGACAGCTCTTGAGTTTGGTTTAAATGGTGTTGTGGTGGTGTTGGAGCTGTGGCAGCCCAGGGAATGTGTGAGAAGCAGGATTGCTTGGTGGTATCTTTTGCTGGACTAACTGTATAGTCAGAAATAGCAATACAAATGGTTCTATTTGAAACAGAAATAGTAGTGGCTCTATTTGAGCTGGAGAATCCATATGAACAGATGACCTGAGATTTTGCAGCCTTCCCACAGGGTGGTGATGTTCCACATAAACCTCTGTCTGTATACTCAGCCAGTGGCATAGTTGAGCAATCAAGGATGAAGTGCAGAAGCCAAGCATGCAGACCCTATAAGTGAACTCCCCTCTATTAACAGTTAATTCTCAGCATATCATGTGACATTGCTGTTTACCTGTACCCAGTGGAGAATCAGCAGATTCTGCAAGAGAAAGTTAAAAAAAAAAAAGTGTGACACCTCCCAATTTAACAATAGGATGTAGTACACATTTACTGACAGCCCTTGTTAGAGGTTCACTGGGAGGCTACAGACAGTTGGCCTCAGCCAGAGGCTGTGAGTGCTCTGCACTAAGTTCCAATCATAGGAACAAGAGAGAAGGACAGTTGCCTGATTAGTCAAAAAGTCTTCTGTCTCTGCTCCCCTTATGCCCACCTCAGACCTGAACCTAGCAACATCATCTCAACGTTTTGCCTTTCCGAGTCCTCACAATGGCTGTGGACAGACATCATATTTGCAGTGCTATACAAGCCATTTTAGCACTACAGAAGTTGGGGGATAGTTGTGCACACCCTCTGCAGTGCTACAGAAGTGTCCCTGGATGAAGCAGGAACATCTCTAGTACTACCTTCCGTACCACCACATGTAGCATCCGTCCAGTGCCATGTAGCGCTACAGAAGGGCCTCTCTGTCCCCCAGCATCCTGCTGCAAGGATAGACTTCCTGAGATCCCTTCCAGCCTTAATATTTTATGATTCAATGACAGTCACTGAGTGCAGCCCCAGGGCAGGGCAACCTGCCTGCTTTCTCTGCCCCCCCTCCACCTCCTCCCACCAAGGACTAGGCTGTCAGCAAGTGGAGGAGCGGAACTGAGCTTGCCCACAGTGAACAGAACTGAAGCCTGGCTGGAACTAGGCTGCAGCTCTGCTCACTGTGGGTGAGCGAGCCCAGTTGTGGTCTGACACTCAGTGACAGCCCAGTTGTGGGGAGGCTGCAGCTCTGCTGGTGGCAGGCTGTCAGTGAACAGGTTCACTGACCATCTTCCCTCCTCTGTCTGGTGGGAGAACAAAGCCACAGGGCCAAGCAACCTGCTATCACTCTCTGGCTATAGAACATGCCACTGAGTGTGTTTATAGATGTGCTCTGGGAGGTGGGGGAAGGGGCCTTTTATTAAAGCTCCTGAAAGCCTTGTGTTTATCAGCGTCCCCACACTGAAAAATGGCAGCGGAGCACTTTAACTTAAAATTCGTTGACGAAGCTTTAGTTAATGTACCCCTGCCACCATTTTTCAGCACGGGGATACTGATACACGTGACGCTGGAGTCTGCTGGAGTGTGGTAATTACCACGCTCCAGCAAACTCGATTAACTGAGTCTGCTCCAATGCGTTGTAATTGAAACACGTCAGAGCAGCCTCTCTGCACATGTATAGGCACCCTGAATGTCTTCACAGGGACTCTGTGGCACTACAGGTAAGAGGCTCTGTATGTTTATTTATGCCTCGTATCACTACATTTTTGTAGTGCTTCAAAATGCTGCAGCATTTGTAGTGTGACAAATACATGTCTGTCCATGGCCAATGACACCTGCCCAGCTACACAGATGGCACACCTCACCCCATGCCAAAGTTATCCTGCTTGTCTTCCCTTTAACAACAAGCACCTAGACTCAATCTACCTAGTTATGCAGCTGAAGCCTCCCCCTTCTACAGATGCCCCAGGCATGCAAATTCTACTGTGTGCAAAACCCGGGCCAGTCCTGCTTTGTTGCCAGCTCCAGCCTCCCATATTAGAGCAAGCCGCTCACTTGTAACTCTGCATGCCTGCGTAGTACTCAAGAGGACAGGAGTTTGCCAAGTTCCTCATTCTATGACTGCAGCAACCTGCAGATCTGAGACCAGCACCTAAGTCCATGATTCTCAGCGAGGGTGTTGTGGCATTCTGGAGCGCCTTGACAGCCTTTAACAGTGCCACAGGATGCCAATGTTAGCACCGTTAGGTGTGCAAACATGATTCACAAGATAAACCCAGAGATTTCAAACAGGAATCCATTGCATTACAAAATTTCTGCCCTTTTGTGGTCTGAGTTCCTTGCAACAGACAAATTCATCTATTATTTTTCTGTAGTCAAAAAATGAGTGAAAATTCAGCTGGCATTTTCCACGGCATACCTTGAGTCTAACAAAATTACAAACCACTGACCTAGTTGGTGAAGACAGCAGGGAAATAAGCTCACATGTTACCTGGAAGGGAATGTGACATTAATCCTCTGATCAATCAGGCTGCTACAGAGACAGAGGAGATGGGACTGATGCAAAGGCCTGGGCAGGAAGCTCCTAACGGCAACATGGCACCGTGCTGACCGTAAGTCAGGATTTCAGGAATTGGTTTTGCTCAGGCCTCAGTAAGCCAAGAGCAGAGTAGGCATCCTGTGCAACCTGCCCTGACCTGGGCTTCTGTCCTATAGGAGAGGTGAGGGCAGCAATTATGTCACAGAATGAAGGGGAAAAAAGAGAAGGAAGAAAACAGCTGTACTCAGATACTCACTGTGCACAATCCAAATGCATCTGAGCTCAGACTGTAACCTAGACCCCAAGAAGAAAAGATAAGTCATGTGCCAATACAGAACAGCTCAGGCTTTAAGTCTCCCAAATTACAGTGAGTCATGCAAACAGCAGAGCCCAGGGGGGCCTCTGGCTTTGCTCACCCTGACAATGTAGTGGCCACGAAGCATACAGAAATCCGGAGTGGTCTTCCTGCTTTCCCAGGTGACATTTGCAGACACAGTGTGAAGGTCATCTGCCATCCAGAGGCCTGACATGTGCAGTCCATGGGGACCCAGAACCTGCAAGTCAGCCATCCTGCCAAAGAAAAGCAAGACATTTGCAGGGTGAAGTGCTGAGGAACATTGTGACTTCCACTCCCAGGTGAGCCCAGAGCTGTGATGCATGTCAGTGAGGGTATATCTACCAGGTTGCTAATGGACTTGGATACCATACTGACTGCCATCAGGCTGGACTACTTAATATGACATTGCTCCTATGCTTTCTATGTAGGCACAAGAATAATACTGTGCAAGTCCTATCTGCACTGGGTGGTAGGTACTACTAAGGTGGGGCTATAAGATACTACAAGTATTCATCTTGTTTTATAGATCACACATTGGGAAAGGTGTGGCTCACTCTTCTGATATCAGTGTGACAGGATTTGATTTTGTGCAGCTTTTTCAAGGCATTTGGGCTAAAGGTGTAGAACCTAACACATACCTGCAGAAAAGAATGGACAAAAATGGGAGACACTTCCACTGCAGTAAGCACTGGATGATCTATTATCCTAGCCCTGCCCAAGTGAGATGCATAATTCCCCTTGGGAGACATGCTATGACCAACTCAATCCCTGTCGTGATAGATGCAGTACAAGAGAAAGAAGGTTCTGGCAGCATGTTCTTGAAAAGTCTGATGAAAACCTAGCAGTCTGGTCAATGCACCACAAGAAAAGTCTGTGGACAGACTCTTATTGATTTCATTATGCCATGGATGAGACCCTAAATTTCCTGGGTACTTTCTTTGTAACATACAGCAGAATGTCAGTCTGTGCTCAGGAGATAAAGACATGTTTAGGTAATCAGTTTTTTGCCAGTGTGTTGGATTGAGAATAATCAGATATGGAAGAATCTGTTGGGGTATCAATCTGAACCACCTCTATTGAGTGGATAACAGGTACTGATTGCCAAAAATGTACCGATGTATAGATGTTACAAATCAGAAATCAAGGTGGTAACTCTGAACAAGATGCTTATTTTCTTGTTCTTTGTTACAATCTGTTTCAGAGTCAGTTTAATGCTGTGGGAGGTACTGTATTGTTAGTCATAGAGACTGAACTCCTCTGTTACCCACAGCATAGGAAACTGAAAAGTGTATCCCAGGAAGGGTTATGTCCATACTGGACTTCTGAGTTGTGTTTTGACGTGTGTTACCTGTCGACTGTAAATTCCAGTGAATGCAAGTCCCCAAAGTTGTTTTGCTAATACTGTTTGCAGACTCTACAAGGCAGTGAGTGCCCACCCACTAAGTGAGAGTTAAGAATGTTTAGTGCCTTGCAGGGTCAAGTCACTAATGAGCATGTTGTTAATGGTGATGAAGCCAACAAGGGCTGGCTGTGTGTTTTCTTGGCTTGGAAGTGCTCTACCATTTTGGCTGTGGGAGCTACGCTGACCTTTGTCGTGACACTCACCTTTCTCCTGCGCTGACACTTGTCACTGTAAAGGAAACATCCTCATATGGCAGCACGTTGATCCTGTCCCCATTGTCTGGGGTTGGGCTGATAAACATTGGCCTTCTGATCCCAAAGGGACAATCCTCTACTGGTTTATCCACTAGAAAGTAAAAGAGAAACCACACACTGTCTTGGGGCCATTTCCTTGCCTCCACTGACAACTCACACCCAACACATATGCTTCCCACTAACTCTAAAAGAGGGCTGTTCAGCTGCTGAGTGGTCAGGGGATCTCAGATCCCTGTGCACACCTCCCCCTCATGGCACATTGCATTGCACAGTGGATGCCCTCCACTGAATTGCACTGGTGCCCTTGCACTACTTGTGGTCCCTAGGTCTTTACCCCCACAAGTCTCCCAGCCATGGGCTGTCTTGGCCTTGCAAACTGCCCCACTCCCAGGGGCAGGGGCAGGAAGCTGGAGGTTTGAGGGGGAGCCTGGAGATTGCCACAGCAGCAGCAGGAGAGTGGTCGGGGGAGTGGCTTCCAGACTGGGAGCCCGCAGACCACAGGTTCAGCCCTCACAGGCTGCATGCTGTCCACAGACCACCAGTTGGACAGTCCTGACCTCAAAAATAGAACAGCTGTGATGCAGTACAGAACAGCAGCTCTAATCTTCAAGCCCGCCCTAAAGCAATACAGTCGTATCCAATTCCCCCTCCATCTGATAGGCATGCCATCTCATCCAGATATGTCCAACGTAAACAGGAGAGTATCACTCTGTGAGGTCAGTGGTTCCCAACCTTCACTGGTGCATGGGCAACAATACTGAGCAAGTAGTGTGCTGTGAGTGGCATCATGCTTTGTTCTCCCTTGTACACCTGAAGGTGCATCTGTGGAAAGCAAAATTTCCTGTGGCTGTGAGCAAAGACGGAGGGTCTCATGGACAACATGTTGTCCAAAAGCCACAGGTCAGTGCCTTAGGCTGACTGGAAGTCTGAGCTACTAGCCAAAGTTATCAATGATGTGATCACTTCTATTGTATATATTTTACAAAGTAATTTCCCCCAAGATTCAGTAACAGATTTAGTATTTTTTTTTCTTTCAAAATCATTAGAATATTCTATAGGGGAAACGGCAGCTTTTGATTTTGTTTGTTTTTATCCCCGCTGCATAGTTTCTCCCTCTTGTAAAAAATGTGAAACAGCCAAACTGTGTGACATCATGGTATACTATAGTAACAGACATGGTGTCACAGAGTGATGACATTACCATAACCAATTATGACAATTGTTAAAATGCCAAATACAAAAATTTCATACCACAGCTCTGATAATAGTTATAATGTCATAAGGAGAAGGCTGTGACCTCACATTGTGAGGTAAGAAGATAGAATTGATCACTAGGAAAATTAGTTCTGTTTCCATACACAGCTTTTCCAATCAAAACCCATAGAATAATAAGACTGGAAGGGACTTCAAAAGGTCATAGAGAATCATGGAGTCATACAGCAGTCGGGCTGGAAGGAACCTCCAGAGACCGTCTATTCCAACCCCATACCTAAGGCAGGATTATCCCTATCCAAGCCATCCTATACAATCCATAATCTACACTGTACATAAGACTACTGTCAACCCTGACACGACACAATAGACCTAACACCCTAACCTGCCACAGGTGAAGTAGAGGAGCCACTGTAGCCCAATGTCCTGCTTCTATTAAATGTTGTCAATATATGCTCAAGAGATCCCAGGTAGAGGACCATGCCCCCACTACAGAGGAAGGCAAAAATGCCCACAGTCCATATCAGTCTGACCATGGGGTAAAATTCCTTCCTGACCCCAAATATAAAACCTGCTCAAAATGCAATCATCCCTGTCTAGCTCCTCCTAAACAAATGTCAATGTTTCTCTAAGAATCTTGCCAATAGAAAATTAGATACAGCATTTTTTTTTTTTTTTGCTTTAGGTTCCTATAGGTTATGGAAATTCCTTGGGAAAGATGTTTCCCATGCTGATTGTTCAATGCTTATTGCACATGCTTTGGACTGGAGCAATTACCTATTAAGGTGAACTGCAGAGGGACAGAGCTCAGGGCTTCAATCCATTCCCCTCCTGAAGCATTGTATGGGTGAATCTCTTGCATCCTGGCCCTGGATTTCAGAACCACCATTTTCCTTGGGAAATCCTCAGCCATTAGCTCCACAGGGTACATGTCTTCAGAGCCTGTTCCATCATACATAAGAGTGCATCCCTCCTGAGACCAAAAGAAAAATACATCTGAAGCCCTGAGGACTACAGCACCAGGATTTTGGCCCTTTAGGGCGCCTATACATGTGCAGCAAGGCTGTTCCAACACGTTGTAATTACAGCGCATCGGAGCAGACTCGATTAATCTGGTAATTACTGTGCTCCAACAGACTCCAGCATCACGTGAATTAACAGCCCCATGCTGAAAAATGGTGGTGGGGCGCTTTAACTAAAGCTCATTCAACAAGCTTTAGTTAAAGTGCTCCAGTGGGGATGCTGATACATGTGACATGCTTAATTAAAGTGCCTCCCCACCCCATTCCCAGAGCACATGTATAAATGCCTCCAGTGCCTAGTTAACTCTTTTGAACAGGCATTTCTCAATGTAGGTTGTGAATGGGAAAAGAGATGATAACTAAAGTAGCAAGCCCAAAGCACAGGCCTACCATTTTAAATCCAGACTGGCAAAAACCTAAGGGACTGCTAAGATTGTGAGTGCTGTAAAGTTGGTGTTAGGGCTAAGTCTGTGGAGCAGGGACTGTATTTTTGTTCTGTTCTTATGTGTGGCCTAGCACAGAGCTTTCCAAACTACAGGCTGTAATCTCAAGTTGGGTCACAGCCCTTAGGAGCTGGAGTGTGAGCATAGGAGAAGTTTGATTTCAGGAGTGGGGCTTGCCATGGGAAATGACATTACACGCCTGGACAGGAAAGGACCTTTCCAGGTCATTCAGTCCAGCCCCCTGTTATCACAGGCAACTAGGTCATAAGCATTTGTCCACAAGGGTCTACATTAATACTTATGCCAGCCTCCACTACATGCCACAGCACAAAGTGCCTTCTAACCAACTTAGGACCATTAGTATAAAAAAAAAGTTCAAAAAACAACCCCCAACTCTCCAACACATAGTTTCACAGGAAGATAGGAGGGACAAGACTACCAACAGTACTGGGGTTGCCAATGGAAATGTAAGCTATTGGCCATTTATCCAGTAGTTTTAGCCAAAAAGAAAAGCATTTTTAAAAAGTTGAACTGCACTATTTTGGTTTTCACTTGGAAATAATGTGTTTTAAAAATGTGTCTAATTTAATTTTTAAAAGGGTTTAAAATAATCCCAGAAAACAAAACATCTCATTCATGCTGGAAGAAAATGTATTTCAGTTTTTCATTCTACTTAGAACACCAAACAAAAATTATTTCCAGTGCAACCCGCAATGAATATATTGTGATGTTTCAGTTTAGCCAGAAAAACTGAAATAGAAAAAAAACACAATTATTCACATGACCCTAAAACAGGGGTGGGTAAAATGCAGCCCCGGGGCCGGATGCCATTCTATCCAGCCTGCGGGACCCCTAAAAAATTTAGAAAATTAATATTTATCTGCCCCTGGCTGCCTGTCATGTGGCCCTCAATGGCTTATCAAAACTAAGTAAGTGGCCCTCCACCCAAAATAATTGCCCACCCCTGCCCTAAAAGGACCCTGAGACTAAGGACTTGGCCAGTATCTACTGAGTCTATTAAAGCAGTTAGTTATTTCTTGGTGGGCTTTGTCTTCTTAACAAAACTGTATGTCTTAAAGAACTGCATGGGCAATAACATTTCACATTAAAATTTTGACAAATTATTAAAATATTAATAAGTATTACTGGGGAGAATGGTAATAATAACTTTGCCATTTGGGAGCACTTGGGGGCCCCAATGCGGCTCAGAGTGCCATTGTTATAGGTACTGTGCAAAGGGGCATGGGAAAACCTGGGTTCCAATTATGGTGAGTGCTGTACATAGGAGGATACAGTCACAATGTTTCTTTCCCACCAGGAGGGTGGTAAAGCACTGGAGCAGGTTACCTAGAAAGGTGATGAAATCTCCATCCTCGGAGGTTTTTAAGACCCGGCTCGACAAAGCCCTGGCTGGGATGACCTAGTTGGAGATGGTCCTGCTTTGAGCAAGGGTTTGGACTAGATGATCTCCTGAGGTCGCTTCCAACCCTCATTTTCTATGATTCTTGGTGTTTGCCACTAGTGATACCAAGCTTCACCAGCTTTATACTAGAACTAGTAAATTGCCCATCAAGCATGATTGGGGGCGGAGGGGTGGCAGGTGGGGACAGAAGCCTGTGTCGCCCCCCGCCTCCTCCCTGCCACCTTGGATCAGGGTCTGGCTTCCCTCCCTCTCCCCTCCACTGCCTCAAGTCCAGGCCTGCTCCCTCCCTTCCCCGCCTGCTGCTTCAAGCCTGGGCTCATTCCTCCCCCTCCCCCTCATCATTTCAGGTCCAGCTGCCTCCACCCCCACTGCTTCGGGTGTGGGCCTGTGTGCCTCCCCCCACTCCCTGCCTATTAAGACTGTGGGAAGTAGGGAAGGCGGTGGTGGCAGTGGCCGGGGCCGGCTGCAGTAGCAGCCAGCAGGTGGCTGTGGCATGGCAGCAGGCAGCCGTGGGCGGCCATGGCATGGCAGCGGGCGGCCATGCGCTGCCAGTGGTACATGGTGTGGAGAGCACCCTGTCCAAGTTCACAGATGACACCAAGTTATGGGGCAAAGTTACACTGGAAGGCAGGGAGTAGATACAGGCTGATCTGGACAGGTTGGGTCAATGGGCAGAACAAAACAGGATGCAGTTCAACAAAGACAAATGCAAGGTACTCCACCTAGGGAGGAGGAATCCCCAGCTCACCTATAGGTTGGGGGATGACCTCCTCAGCAGCTGAGCAGCTGAAAGGGATCTTGGAGTCATAGTTGACTCCAAGATGAACATGAGCAGACAGTGTAACGAAGCCATCAACAAAGCCAAGCGCACCTTGTCGTGCATTAGCAGATGCTTCACCAACAGATCAAGGGATGTGATGCTCCCCCTCTCTGCGGCATTGGTCAGGCTGCAGTTGGAGCACTGTGTCCAGTTTTGGGCACCGCACTTCAAGAGGGATGCGGAGAATCTGGAGAGGGTCCAGAGAAGGGCCACTTGCATGATTTGATTAGTGGCAAACCCTACGACGGGAGGTTGAAAGATCTGAATCTCTTCAGCCTTCACAAGAGATATCTGAGGGGAGACCTTGTAGCAGCCTATAAGTTTATCAAGGGAGGACAACAGAGAGTTGGAGATATGCTATTTACAAGGGCACCCCTAGAAGTAACTAGGAATAACGGGTACAAACTAGTGGAGAGTAGATTCAGGTTGGACATTAGGAAGAAATTTGTCACAGTAAGGGGGGCCAGAATCTGGAACGGGCTGCCAAGAGAGGTGGTACTATCACCTAACTTGGAGGTCTTCAAGAGGAGGCTAGATAGGCACCTGGCTGGGGTCGTCTGACCTCGGTCCTTTTCCTACCTGGGGCAGGTGGTCGAACACAATAATCCTTCAGGGTCCCTTCCGACTACTATCTATGAATCTATGAAACTCCCCTCCCTCTCTCCCTTCCTCCTCTCTTCCCTGCTGCCTCCCCCTCCCTGCCGGCTGTTGTTGTGGGGCAGGGGACCCACTCTGACCCCTGGCTCCAAGGAGCAGTGCTGGCCTCACCCCCTGCTCCAACCCCTCAGTCCCCGTGGGCATGGTGGTGCTGCACCGTGTGGCTCTGTCTGTGCAGAGCAGTCTGCAGAGACAAGCAATCAGAGTGCGAATAAAGCATTACGGACAGACAGACAGACTAAGGCTTTTATACTATTAGAGTGATGTTTTACTATAAGTGGCATAGAGATCTCTGGAATATTAATTTCTACTGTCCAGAGGAGGTTTCCTTGTCCTGTTCAGTGAGCTACCCTTGAGAGTTTTTGCCTTTGTTCAAAATGTTCAATTATATACAGAACTGGAGAAGATGGGCAGAGATCTGCGTGTGGCAACAGGAACAATCCCGAATTAATATGAGACAGGCCCAAACTGGTTCAGATACACGCTAACCTGAATTGACTCTCAAAACTGGGATTAGCAGTAGATAATTTTAGATATTACTACCTTGGGAGGAAGGATGATCTTCTAACTATAGCAAGGTGTTGAAAGCTAGGAGACCTAGGTCCAGTTCTCAGCTCTACTGCAGGTTCCCTGGGTGATTGTTGGGCAAGTCACCTTGTTTCTCTGTGCTTGTAACATAGAATAATGGTGATGATGTTTCCAGCTTCTCCCTTGACTATCTAAGAAGTAAACTGAGGCAGGATCATTTTCTACTGTGTGTAGGCAGCAAAACGGAGCCTTGTCCTAGTTAGAGCCTTTTAATGCTACTGGGCCTAAAATAAAAATAATGCTACAGTGGAGAGCTGGCCTTTTAAGGGAGGGATTCTGGCCCTACCTGCCGCTAGTTTTCTCCTGAATCACAGGATTTGGGATTCCCCAGGTGGAGGCTGTTCTCAAAGGGTGCATGTTGATTGGGTAGTAAGGTCATGTGACTGCAGGCTGGGGATGGTGTCTAGTATAAATAGGGGCAGTACATGTGAAGGGTGGGACTAGGTTTAGTGGGTGTTGTAAGTACTTGGGCAGAGTTGCTGATGCCAAGCAATCAAAAAAAAAAAAAAAAAAAAAAATCACGATACTGAGTTTAAATCATTTAAAATGTTTTTTCTTTTACTTTTTTTTAGTTGTGTTCTCCTTGCTGGGCCTTTAAGGTTTACTTCTTTCACATTTTCAGGCAGGCCAGAGACTTTTTCCTTAGTGGAAGCTGAGATTCTCACAATCGCCTGATTCCAAAAGGGTGGGATTTTCAGGAGAAAATGCCAGAATTGATGAGTGTTGGCAGAGCTGTGGGAAACCTCTAGAAAGGCTTTATAAACTTAGCCCAGAGGGAACTTGAGGAAGGGGTGGCTGAAGTGGAAGAAGAGGCAAAGGACTGTGCAGTGTGTAAATGCAATGTTGAGCTGAGGCCTGAGCAGGTACCCGTGTCTGGTGACACTTTAGATTCCCACTTGAAAAGGAAGGTCTTTTTCTCTGGCCTTGAGTCCTGAGAGCTGGCAGAACTGGGGTGCTCCAAGGAAGGGCTGAGACATGGCTAGATGCTGTGTGGAAAATGGCTTCTGTTTGGACTTCTAGCCCCACCTTGCAAGGGGAAGACTTCATGGCTTAGATGGAGGGACAAATCACCTCAGTGAGGAAGATGGCATGGAGGAAAACTGAAGCAGCAATAGAAGCAGGTAAGGGGACCTGTTACAATGGCTCTTCAGACTTTGGGTGAATCCTCCTTGCCTCACCTGTGTTCAACTGTCTCAATGGAATTGCTTGCCTATCAGTAAAAGGAGCTGTGGAATTGATTATTTAAATTGGTTTAACATACTTCTGAATGTCTTGCTTGCCTACACCTTTGGGGTTTCCCCACGTGGTTAAACAACGTTTCCTCTGTGCTTGTGTCATGATATAACAATGCATTGTTGCTGACCTGGGCCGTTCTGTCACAATGACCTCGGGTAACTGTCAAGGTGCCTCTGCCCACTCCCACCCGTAGTGAGAGTAGATGAGACCACTTACCTCATCCAAATGGAGGAAAGGAGACTTCTTGCAGAAAGCACAGCCAAGCTCCTCTCTGAGCCCGTAGCGGCATCTCACCACATCCCCATCTTGATCCCAGATGCTTAAATTGTACAATGTTGCACAGTTCTGGGGAACTCTATGGAAATGGACAACGTTGAGGGTTTGAAAAGCTGGTAAGGCAAATGTTCTCCTTCTCTCTAGCTGATTTAATTCTCTAGGAAGCCGTCTTTCATGTACTGATGCTTGTAAATGTTTTTACTTGTATAATTCAAACAGAGAAAGCTGATGAGGATTTTGAAAAATTTAAGTGAAATCTTTGTGTGAGCTTCTTCCAAAAAAAAAAATTGTTTAAAAAAAAAAATGCTCCCCTCTTCTGACTAGCTCGTTTCATGTGTTGAAGGAATGTATTATGATAGTGTACTGTTAAAACCTTGCTGTTCCCTCATCCCCAGTGGTAACTGAAGTTTAGTAAGGAATGAAAGGATATCTTTATGCATAGTTGATAGAAAAAGCTAATAACTCTTTGGGAGTCTTTGAGACAAAATAATGAGCTATATACATCACATGGACTGTTTGTGAATAAGCTTCTCTGCATTATAGTACATATGGACATCAGCATTCTCGGGTGGGATGGAATATCAGCTCTGCTGAGAGGTATATTCATTCCCCATTTAATAGCTAAAAGCTGCTACTTCAGTTGTGGCCAATGTATCTACAGCAGTGATTCTCAACCAGGGTACTGTGGTATGAGATACTGGCACTGTTAAGTGTGCAAACCCCTACACATGATTGACAAGATAAACTCAAAAGCTATCAAATGGGAATCTAAAGTGTCAAAAACCAATAGCTGGCATTTTTGGAGGGGTGCCTTCAGTCTACAAAGTTTGGAACCACTGACTTACAGCATATATGAGCTTTTGCTCCTTTCTGGTACCTCATTTTACAAAGGGCACAAGCCCTAGTGCTACTACAAGAGTTTGAAGATGTGCTTAGTATTGTCAGGTTAAGATTAATACTGGTGGTGGTGTCCTGTACTGAGATTGAACTCAATATTCCTAATGCTGTCTAGGCTGGCCAAAGAACACAGGTGAGTTAAAGCAATATTTGGTTGGACTCTGCCCTTTGAAGCTAATGTGCTGAGAATTACCTGAGTACAGGAAGAAGTGGAGTCTGCGGGGAGGAGTTTCCCAGTGCTGTATCTGAGCGAGTGCCCAGGGTATACACCATTGCCACTTTAAACTGGACACTGCAGTTCTTCTCCTCAGAAAGAAGCCTGGTTTGGGACCAGCAGCAGTGGGACAGCCTAGAAACACGGGGAAGCATGAGATATGACAGAGCACTGACACAACCAGCTGTAAATCAGATAACTGTTTAAAATTAGTTCCCCTCTTTCTGGGAAGTGACTTTTTATTACTTCTGCATTGCAATTCCTGCTCTTCTTCCCTGAACCTTGAGGGCTATGTGTGTTAAATCTATTTTTGTGGGGTTTTGCCAGTTCCTACCAGGGCTAATTCCATGCAATCTCACTGATTTCAGTGGGCTTTAAACAGATTTAGCATGTCTCCCTCTTTTGAAAGAAAGATTTAATCTTCTTCCACATGGCCTTGAAATAGCTACTATTTTTCTATAAGGGTAAGTGCATTGAGGATGGAAAACAAGCTAAGCTGCACTGAGGTGGTTATAAGGCTGTTTGCTTTACAGACCGGGTGGATTCAGCTTTACTTAATAGGAAGAGAAGAGACTTTAAGAATGTTTTTATAAATGGAAAGGGAGAGAGGATTTTTTTTGTTTGTTTGGTTGGGGTTTTTTGTCTTCCCCTGTTCCCCCCCACTCCACCTTTAGAGGTCTTTATAATTAGCCATGAGCTCAATTAAATATATCCTTGAACAATATTCCATTAGGCCTATTTTTCTTCTTACTACCTTGCAGCCTGATTCTCCAAAGGCATTAAGTGCTCTCATCAGGAGTGTGTGAGAGAGCTTAGCACCCTGGACATAACACTTGGGACTTCACAGCATCCAACCTTTAGCCCATAACAGCATTCAACACGCTGATCCTCTGCACCAAATATTTCCCGGGGAATTAATATGCTATAAGATAAATGGTTTAAGTCGTCTTATCCCAAGATGGTCATTAGCTTCCAGGAAGTGCTTTGGGCTCAGGGGCATTAATTGGCTATCATTGGCTTCATCCATATGAGAGGAAATGCCTACTTATAGGAGGAACAATTGTTATGATTTTAACTGCTTTTGAGGGCTAGGGTGGCACTAAGATGCTTGGTTGATAGTCCAAAGGTCACAAGTTTAAGGCCATAGCAGAAGCGCTCATGGCACGGAAATATCGGATCCCAGAGAATCTAGAAATTCTGCTAAATACCTTGTCACAAGGACATGAGAAGGAAGGAAGGAATCTCCCTTCAGTGTTCTCGCTAAACAATTATCCAGATGGTCTCTTGGCTTTTATTGCTTTTAACAGGCTCATTATTTCATGTTTTCAAATGAGTGTCCTGAATTTTGAGAGATGGCAGTTCTGAAGGCTGCAGTCATCTATTGAGGAATCACTGGTGCCCTACCGTCATGTCCCAGCCATGCCTGCCAACAGGATCACTCTGCATCAGCCAAAGAGGAGAGGGAATTATGGCAGAGCAAAGGCGTCCTCGCTTCTCTTGCTTTATCCCCTACCAAGATGGGTGGCTACTCTGAGTGACTGGCTGGGTGAGGCTTCACACAGCCCTTTTGAGTCTTTGTATTCAAGCTTTGGATGATAATTATGATAGTAATAGTGGCTTTTGCCACCTCTTTGGGACAGGGACTTTTTTGGTATTTGTACAGTGCTGAGCACCAAAGGATCCTGGTCCATCCTAGGTGCCATAATACAGATAGTGTACTAATTGCCTAGGCCCTGAACTGAGATTAAAACTCATTGCATAAATCATTGAGCAGCTGTTGGCCAGAGTGACTAATTTCCTGACTAGGCCAGACTCCAGAGTACCTGTTAATCAGCCCTGGAGTCACCTAGGTCTTGGGTGCTGGTCCAGTTGTATGCATCATGGTCTCCTTTAATACTGAGGAATTTGAAGGTCTGGTCTGGAGAGTTGGAATTACCTGTTTATAGGCAGTTTAGATGTCTCTGGCTTCTTGGAGGTAGATTGGAGTATTCCAACCATTTTACTCTCTCTAAAGTATTTAGAGTATTTCAACAATGTTTCCTAGGTGAACAGGCACACAGAACCAGTAAGCTGGGCTTTGAATTGGGAGGGCTTGGGTCTGGTCCTGTGTGTTTTGATAGTATCTGGGATTCTGCAGTGCGGGATTGAAATGCTTCCATGTCACCAAGGCTTTGAGCAGTAGTCATCTCTGTTCTTCCAAGCTACAGTGTTTTTTTTGTTGTTGGGTCTTTTTGGTTGGCTTTTTTTGTTGTTGTTTTGGGGTTTTTTTTACTGCATTGCAGGTCACTTGTAAGGCTCACATGGAGCACTGAGTCTAATCTATTCTTCTGCATAACATGGACCAGAGAACTACACCTGGCTGCTCCTGCACCGAGCCCAAGAAGACTGCTGGCCCTGAATAGAAATCTTGTCTGAAGAAAACGCATCTTTCAGAAACACTTCTAGAATACAGCGAAAAGGACAAAAGAAGGTGGTGGTAGCAGGAAGGGAGCTCAGGATGAGCTCTTCAGTTAGTGTAGATTGGTGTAGTTCCAGTGACTTCAGTGAAACAGGCTGATTTATGCCAACTGAATCAGGCCTCTCTTTCACAGCCTGTTTCAACAAGCCAACATGGGTTGTTCTAGCTCTCTCTAATCCTGCTTTATGGTTTCACCAAGGGGCAGCAATACATGATCATCATTAATCCCCACCTCTGTGTTCTTCGCATCTATTTCCATAAAAGCTTTCTGGCTTGCCTACTCCTGTTCTAAATGGATAGTTACTTATGGCCTTGACGTGAACCTTATTTCATATCAGCATGACACTAAACATCAACAATTCAAGGAAAGAACACTCCAAAAGCAGCTAAGATATAAACAACCAGTACAAAAATTACGCAGAATCATCTGCACCAACAGCACCCATAATGCCTTGGGACAAAATGTAAATGAAGATAGGGCCTGTAGGGTTACAGCCAATAATTTGAATATACCTTCTGACTGTCCGCCCACATAGGACTAGAATATGGCAGCATTTTGCATGGACTTACTTTGACTGATTGTATTATAGCGTGCCCTTTTAGGTGAGCAGTGTGATGATGATGATTATTTTGTGCTACTACTTGGTATCTCAGCAATGGTAAAATATAGTGTCCTGAGACTGGTGAACAATATCATTGGGGAGTGATGGGGAGTGCCATGGGAGGAACAATACATTTCCCCTGTAGAAAGGGGTGTTATAAAGAGAATGCTGTTCAATAATTCTGTGCATGTCAACAGACAGGTCAAAAAGTAGTGGGCTGACATTGCAACATGGAGATTTAGGAAGAACTTTTTAACTATGGGACTTGTTCAGCACTGGAATACACAGTCTAGAGAAGTGGAAGAATCTCAATCATTGGAAGTTTTTACAGGCAAGGCAGACAAACACTTGCCTGGGGTGGTTTCAACCAAGACGGTCCTACTTTTTTAGCAGGGCATTGGACTTAACCGGCTGAGATGCTTCCCAGCCCTGCCTTTGTGATTCTTTTTACCTGACTTCACAGGCTATACAGGTGCTGTGTGCCTTTGTTAGGCATACAGGTGGATGGGGTGGTGAGGTGGTGGCAGTGTGTTTACACACCATTTTGGCTATCTGCCGCATACACAGTGAGCTTGGAGCTCACCAGCACGTCAGTGCATTTATTGCAGAGCTCCCGCATGTGCTGTGAGTTCTCTGAGCTCTCCAGCTGGTTGGCACAAGCTCTGTCCAGATTCTAATTTCACATAGATCTGGAGCTCAAGGGATGAGTGCTGCTGATGCTGCTCCCCTTCCTCCTCTCCCTCCC